TGTGAGGCGTGTGTGTGAGGTGTATGTGTGTGTGAGGCGTGTGTGTGTGAGAGATGTGTGTGAAGCGTGTGTGAGGCGTGTGAAATGTGTGTGAGGCATGTGTATGTGTGTGTGAAGTGTGTGTGTGCGAGAGAGAGATATGTGTGAGAGAAGTGTGTATGTGAGGGGTGTGTGTATCAGAGAGCAACAGAGAGGGGTGTGTGAGTGTGGGTGTCACTAGGGATTAATCCTAGGGTCTATTGTAATACAAATGTTCTATCACTGAGTTATCAATTCCCAGCCCCCCCCCCCCTTTTTTTACGCTTTCTATTTGCCCAGGCTGGTCTTTTAAGCAATAGGAATCATAGACTTGCCCCTCATTTTGATGCTTTTGATGTTTTATTTCCTCCCCGCCCCCCAGACAGGGATTCTCTATGTAGTCTAACTGTCCTGGAACTCTCTCTGTAGCCCAGATTGGTCTCAGACTCGGAGATCCACCTGCCTCTCCCTCCCGAGTGCTGGGATTAAAGGCATCTGCCACCAAAGCATCATTTGCCCCCTGAGAACTGCAGCTGCCATCGTCCCATTGTGTGTCGCATGCAGCCTGTCCACCCTCAGCGTCCCCTCTGTAGCGCGTCTTGCCTGTCTCTCTCGAGATCACTAACTGGGCCCTGCTTTGTTCTTCTAGCTTGAGCGAGAGCTTTTTCATGGTGAAAGGAGCGGCGCTCTTCCTGCAGCAGGGGAACAGCGCTCAGAGCCAGCGGAGTCTTCAGCACCCTCACAAGCATGCAGGTGATGCAAGCTCTTACGTTGGGATCCTTTCTGTGCCACAGGAGAACCTTCCACAGCAGGAGAGGAGTCGTTTTCTGGGTCTCACAGCCAGGGAAGCAGGGCATCATGGGTTTGTAATGACCAGCCTAGTTGCTGGGATGCAAAGATTCCCTGTGCGTTCTCTGTCAGTTAATATCTCAGCTTGTACGGTGAGGCTTGGACAAACGGACCAGCACGTGGCACAGCTGTAAGCTGTCGCTTGAAGACAGCCTCCGAGGTTCTTCGTAGCTCACCCGAACATTTGAAAATCCCTCGAGGAGGCCATGTAAGAGCCTTTGGCTGCACTCTGAGTGTTTATGTGACAGGATGCCTTTATCCTATAATAGCTGCCTTTTGGGAAGGACAGAAGTAATAGAGTTGGGGACAGACTGAATAATAATGTAGGCCCCAAAAATAAACGAGTAAAAATGCCTGTCAAGTACCAAGGTTGGATTTTTTAGACTGCGTGACTGTAGAAATGAAGCCAAATTGAAGGTGGAATTCAAGATGAACACAAGGGGTCCTTTGTGACAGTCATTGGTCTAGAGTCCTTCTGAGGGAGGCTGCCGGGGTCTGAGTGTTTACATGACAGGGAGGCCCCTCTGTCTTCCAGGAGAGCTGGGATGAGACTGTGGACAGCCGGACATTGTCTCACCCCCAGGTTCACTCTGTTTGCTTGGCCTCTACTTACCCAGCATCTTATGTCAAATGCTGGAGCTCAGCCTGCGTTTTAACATACTGATCCTGTCAACCAAGATTTAGGCCTGCTGTCATTTAAGAAAGTAAGTGTCCCGTACAGGAGGCATTGTGGTGTGTGGAAACGATGCTTGATTTGGAGCATTCTGGCAGTCAGTCTGTGAACCAACACTAGAGGGTAGAGTAGAAGCAGGAGGATCATGAGTTCAAGGCCAGCCTAGGCTACGTAGTGTATTTTAGGATACCTAAGTCACTTAGTGAAACTATTCTGTTGAAAATAGACAAACAAACGGGCCTTTAATCCCAGCACTCGGGACACAGAGGCAAGCAGAACCCTGAGTTCATGACCAGTCTGGCCTACAGACCGAGTTTCAGGACAGCTAGGGCTACACAGAGAAACCCTATCTTGAAAGAAAAACAAACAAACAAACCACAAACCACCATGCTTTAGAGCCAGACAGACCTGGCTTCTGTAAAAACCTTGTTTTATAATTTCCTGAACAGGCAGGGTATACTTCTGAAGCTTCACCATGCTTTAGAGCCAGACAGACCTGGCTTCTGTAAAAACCTTGTTTTATAATTTCCTGAACAGGCAGTGTATACTTCTGAGCTTCGGTTTTCTAGTCTTCATAAGAGGCATCCAGTGCCTCAGATAATATGGAAGTCACTAATTACGCAGATGGCCAGACCCAGTGGCCCACACCTGTAATCTAGGAAGCTAGACTGGAAAATTGTGACTTCAAGGGCAGCCTAAGCTACACAGCAAGAACCTGCTTCAAAAAGCAAACCCAAACCAGAAGAACAAAATGTTCTCAAGGCACTGGGGAGATGGCACAGCTGCCTTGCTTTAAGAGTAGGACCTGATTCAGGTCCCCGGAACCCAGGTGTGGTGGTACACATTTGTAATCAGGTGATGGAGACAGGTGGGTCCCGAGCCTCGCCGGCCAGTTAACCAGCTAACATAGCTGATGATGTTCCAGTGGCAGATTCTGACTTGTCCAAAAGGTGAGAGCCACGGTTGTCCTCTGGGCTCCACGGACACACAGATGTGTGGTGCACACCACGCACCAACGTTTCCAGTGGGTGGCAGTTGTGAGCTGCCTTGACTTACAGTGTGATGAAGCTCCAAGCAGCCATCATTTCCACGTCTGTTGGTGTCTGTAGCGTGTTACACAGCAACTCGAGGCCCAGGCTGTGTTCAGGTGTGAAGTTTGTCCCCACTGTGAGTGACCTGGTCAGGAAGTATGACCCTGAGAAAGCTCATCTGAGTGTCCCTTGAATGCCTGCAGGCAGGAAGACAGTCACTGGCTGATTGGGTTTTCTGTCCTTGAAGACCGGGACGAGTGGTGAGCTTGGGAAGACAAGCCACTGATTGGCCTGGGATGGCCAGCAAACGGCTTTGCTATGTTCCCTTTCCCTGTTGCCTCTCTGACCACCATGGAGAGTAATCAGAGGGTTAATTTTGTGGGGTTGGGTCAGGTTCAGTTAGCCAGTTGGTGTAGGGTCTTGTACTCCAGGCTTCTGCTCTCTGATCCGTATGTGGATGTCAGGCTGGGATATCAGCAGTTTAATTATGTGTGAAATGCCTTTCTCATTTGGACATTTATCAGACACGGGAGTGGGGTTACTTTCATCTCTGTGACTTGGGGTGGATGGTGGGCGGATCCAGGTAAAGAGCTAACCCTTGGTGGTTGTGTCGGCTCTTAAGAGAAAGTAGAGCTGGGAACGCCCAGTGTGAGCTGGTATCTCCAGAGCAGCTGTTGAGTCCCGTTGCTGGGAGGATCCGATAGGAGGCACTGTGGCTTTTTTGTTTGTCTTTTGCTGATCTTATTTATTGTGGAAAGAACACTTAGCATGAGCTGTACCCTCCAGACAGAGGGGCAGGTTTCTAAAATTCTAGTTTTCTCAGAGAGAGGAAGTGTCGTTTAGACGTCACACATCCACCCCTAAAAGGACAACGTGCTATTGCAGCAGGCACGGTGGCTGTGGTTTTCTGGGGCATTTGCTTATATAAGCAGCGTTGTCCTTCCAGGGCTCCCAGCGTGGAGAGTGTTTCACGGTGTCACTGCTTCACTTTGCTCCGGGTTCTGCAGTGCTGGGCATGGAACCCAGGGCTGTGCACATATTAGGCAAGTGCTGTACCACGGAGCTGTACCCTCAGCTCCCTAGAGTATAATGAAAACAAACAAAAAACGTAATTGGGTTTCTTTGGCGCTCTGCACACAGTTGGATAGGGCGATTTTACTGAGTTATTTCTCGCACCTTCATCCAGATGAATCTTTCCTCAGAGGGCACGCAGGCCTCAAGGCCGGGAAAGGCAGGACAGGGATCCTACATCTACTTTAGCAACACTGCACCCCATCCCGGCAGCCACACCCCTGGAACACCCTACCATCCTTCAGTGAGCTTGCTGCCTGACACTGCATACTCTCCAGACCCCAACCCAGGGGTACTGCCCACTGAAGCTCACTTCCTACCCTAAGAGGATTGTGAGTTTGAGGCCAGACTAGACTGTGTAGACTCTCTATCCAAGAAAAAGAATGGAGCAGGTCTGGGAAGGGAGAGATCTCGGTGGTTAAGGGCACATGCTGCCTTTGCAGAGGACCCAAGTTCAGTGTTCAGCATTCTTGTTGGGCAGCCCACGGCCACCTGTACTTCTAGTTCCGGAGGATCCAGTGTCCTCTTCTGGACTCTGCAGACATCTGCATGTAGACACACACATAATCCCACCACACACATGTACACATGTTTTTTAAAAGTCTGTAGAGGATAAAACCACTTTCTCTGGCTGGAAATGGTAGTATGTACCCACAATCCCAGATCCCTGGAAGCTGAGGCAGGAAAATTGCTACTTTAGATGACTGTCTCTTTACTTCTCTTAGCAACGAAGAAAAAAAGAACACGTTAATGATTTCTTTTTTATGAAAGAGAATGATAGACTATTTTTCCTCAGATAATTTCTCTGGACACCCAGCATGCATTTGTTGTCACTGGTCAGATAGACCCCCCTCCCCATCCACCAGGTACGGAAGTAGCATCTGACTTATGTGAAAAAATGCCCAAGAATTTGAAGGGGACAGGTGACACTCAGTCTTTTTCCTCACAGTTCAGCCCTAGGCAGACGCCTCCGCAGCCATGACTGTGGTTTCTGCCTCCTTGCTAGGAATACTTGCCTGGATGTGATGACATTCTCCTGAGGGTCCATGTGTATTTTCCAAAGTCTTTGTTGAAAATGCCACTGACCACTGTGCTGTCCCAGCCCTTGGAGTCGATCTCCCCCTTAAAGCTCGCCTTGTTGGCCTCACAGGTGACCTGCCTCAGCACCTTCAAGTGATGATCAACCTCCTACGCTGTGAAGACAGAATCAAGCTGGTAAGAGCTGAGGGTGGTCTTCAAGGGCAGCTCGAGCCCCTCTCTGTTGTGATTCCTCGTCCTCTCACACTGTTGACCAGCAACCAGGGTGCTGAAGTGCCACTCAGTGGTAAGGGCATCACTGCGTGTATGATGCTCTGGGTTCTATGCCCAGCACCCCAAAGGGGCCAGGAGAGACTTCAGACCTCCATGGCATCTATGGATCTATGCTAAACATGAATGTAACTTGTACAGTTCAGCTGTGTCCCCCCCTGCACGCGGTTTGCTGTCCCCTGTGCCAGGCGCATGCTCTCTCTGGTCCTGCTCACAAGCACTTGGTCTTCATTTCTTCCCTGATTTGTGGATGGGGGTCAAGAACTAAAGCCCTTGGTCTTGGCTTGGTGGACAGAGGAAGGGAGCAAACCATCGAGGTGACCCCTTGTCCACAGGCCGTGCGCCTTGAGAGCGTCTGGACCGACCGTGTCCGCTACATGGTTGTGGTGTACACCAGCGGGCGCCAGGACACCGAGGAGAACATTTTGCTGGGAGTTGACTTTTCCAGTAAGGAGAGGTGAGTCTCAGGACAGCATTTCCCATCAGAGCAGGAGATGGGTTCCTGGTGGCAAAAGGCTTTCCTGGTGTGCTGGGATGAGTCTTTCTGGAAGATGGGGGCCGCCAAGGCTGGGGCCACCAAGACTGCTCTCGCTCCTCTGCGGCTGCGATCCCTCCAAGGCGCGCTGCTCAGAGCAGCGGGAGAGGAGGCATGGGGCTGCTCTCCCTTACTCTGTATTTACCTGGGTAGTTTATAGAGAGAAGGCGTTTGTGTGGCTTGCTGTTTCAGAGACTGCAAGTCTAATGGGAGACCTCTCTTTGGTCATGGGGTTGACATCACAGTAGTGGGAACACGTGCAGAAGAGATCAGATGGCGAGACAGGGAGCCGCAGCGGGAGCTAGGCAAAGCCAGCATTAATTCCTTCTGAGGGTGGAACCAGTGCCAATCACCATGTCTCAGCTCATAAATGTACCATCTCCTCGGTGCTGCAGATTTGGGGACTGGGGGGAGCCCTCAAACTTGTAGAGGCGTTCTACACAGGGATGCTTCCTGAGGGTATGACAGCGACAGTGAGCATCAAAGGACAAGCTGGAGTCAGCCGGAGGAGCCTCCCGGACGGACGGCCTGCATAGGGAATGTGTTGGTGGCCTTGTATGAAGTGCCCTGTCTGGTAGTGATCTGCTGTAGATCAGTATTTGTTTTTGGCAGGTCCTTGAGTGAAAGCATTGAGGCTTGCCGTTCCCCAGGACTGGAAGCCAAGTAAATTCCATTGAGACCCTAGTGTGGCATGCGATGACGCGTGTGTAGGAGGTCATTGCAAACCCTAGATCTTACCCTACTCATTGCTAAGTGGATGGGTTTTTGTCCTACCCTGTGTAGGTGGCAACAGGCTGGGCCCCAGGTCTGCCAAGGCATCATAGCCCACATTGAGCTTAGCACAAAAGACCATGTCACCACCAGGAATGCAAGAGACTTAGCAATGACATGGTGCCAGGCTGTTGTGAGAGCCCAAGTAGGTGACTGGTGCCAACGTGGGATTTAGGGTCCAGTAGGCAGCATGGTGAGGTCAGATGTGTAGGGCCGCAGGTGGACCCGCATTGTGCAAGAAGAAAGTCCCAGAAGTCACATGACCACAGTTGGGGTGCCTTGTGGCTAAGCACTGTGTCATAGGCTGGTGACCAAGACTGCACTGCTTACTACATGTGAATGAAAACAAAAGGGATAAATGCGTCTTGTAGCGCCTCTTCCTGTGCCTCCCAGCACTGTGAGGGAGTTTGATGCTGCACAAGGCAGGGAGGAACTGTGTCGGTGGCTTTGCGGGCTGAGGGATCTGAAGACCAGTCAGTGTGCTAGTCATTGGTAGAGCAGTGTGGGAGCTGTGGTGTGCTGTGGAGGTGCCAGCCGGGAGGTATTCGCAGTGTGTGTGTGTGTGTGTGTGTGTGTGTGTGTGTGTGTAACTCGCGATCCCCCTACTTCAGTTTTTCAGACTCGAGCATTAGTGTGTGGCAGTATCGAAGTTACAGTTTTTCAGTTGATGTCCTAGCCCTGTAGGAATCTTCCAGGGACAGTAATTTTTCCATGCTGTTAACCTACTCCAGTACTGAACAGGGGGGGCGCCTGTCTCCTGTAGCCTCTACCCCCATGTAGCAGTAGTTTCTTGTCGGACAGCCAGCCCACTAATAATGACACAGAGACTTATTAATTATGAAAGCCTTAGCTTTCATACTTTCTCACTAGTTCTTGTAACTTAAATTAATGTGATTTTATTAATCTGCGTTCTATCACATACTGTCCGTCCTGCTTCCTCTCTGTCTTCTCCCATCTCTGGCATGCCTAGATTCTATCCTCTCTCTACCCGGAAGCCCCCCATACCTCCTGCCTAGTTGGCTACTTGGCTTTTTATTACATCAGTCACAGCAGTGCACCTTCATGCAGTATACAGATATCCCCCCCATTTCGGTCCTTACTACAGAAGCCTCACAGGAGTCCACTCTCCTCGGGTCACCTCTGCTGATTCTGTAGCAGAGCACGGTGCTGTCACCCGGCTCATCCTGTGCACCCCGTGGATAAGGGCCTGGTCCTTATACTTTAAGGGCTCTGAGAAGCTGAGTTGAATGCACCAGGGTCACTCATGATGTAGCTGGGCAGAACTCAGGCTCAGCATACCCCGTTTGCATTAACTTTTCCTCAGGGGATGCTTAGGAATGTCCAGTCATCCCAGTCGGACACCAGTGACAGACCTAAGGGTGACTTCACCTCAAAAGTCCCCCTTATGATTCATGGTGACCTTGTGGACACTACATCGTGTAGGCTGCCATTGTCTTCGTTGTAGAGTCATGTGTAAGGTCATGTGTGGAAAGGGCACAACAGCAAGGATCCCCAGTGCCAGTCTCCTGGCCCTCCCCAGACAGTTCTTGTTGCTGAAGACTTGGCTACCACTGCATGGTTCTGTTCTGGTTGCTGAAGTACAGGGGCAGAGTCTCAGAGTGGCAGCCTGTGACGGGGG